CTCCGTATCGGCATCAACCCTATTGGACCCCATCTGTGAGCTCTCTACCCTGCTGACTTGATCCAATCAGGGATATCGAACAAATCTTTATTTCTTTTTAACGTTGCCCTAAACTAGGATTTTCCTGTGTCGTGGGTTTTACGTGGGCGTTTACAAACATACAAGTTCAACACATGACACCCAGACCTGAAACAACAATTTGTGGATCACACAAAGAGTTGTTCCGTGCGGGAATCGAACCCGTGACACGTTGCGTGGCAGCCAGCTACCCAGCCACCGCGGCAACCGTGCAGTCATATCTTTTCATCACCAAATATTTTCCTTGTATGGGCAGATTGAGCAACACATACCCTAATGAACATCAATTAAACTTTCTTGGAAAAATAAAAAAAAACAATTAATTAAAAAATAATACACAAGTGGACATGAACATTGAACAAGTCTTCATAAATCATTGCATTTTAAACCTAAACTACCTTGACATAAAAGTCAAACAAAAGTAAAGTGATCTATCAAACTCGGGCCAAAGTTCGCTAGGTAATTATAATGTACTCACAGTTTGTGTTTTTGTTTCGAAGTCAATTTCGTTCTATTTCGAATAACATTGAGAACGACCTTAGATCAGTTTGTTTAAAGACTAAACTTGAATATCTTATTGGTTACGTGGTTTTAAATGTGTCTACCGAATGAGGGGTCTCGATTTCAGTTCAGTGAATGAAGAAAAGAAAAAAGAAATGAAGTAACAGTTTTAGGCGAGTTCATTTGACAATGAACTCGCCTAAAACTGTTACTCCGCCTTGCTATCTACCATTGTGTGATAAGACCGCCCATTGTACTCAAATTACTATTGAAATGCTAACAATTTTTTCTATGTGTGCAATAAAGTATTATAAATAAATAAATAAAATAAATTGTTCCCTTCTTTTGAGAAACAAAAGCCTTCAAACCTTCAAGAAAAGACCGTATTCCTTTTTGAAAGGCCGGCATCGCACCTGTTACTCCTCTGGTGTTGTGGGTGTTCATGGGCGGCGCTGATCGGTGAACATCATATGATGTGAGACGAATCATCGTCTGCTCGTTCACCCCTTATTCCATAAAAAGCTCTGATCAATATTATTTTTTTTTTTGGAACTATGTAGCATAACATAACATAACATCACGCCTTTTATCCCTGAAGGGGTAGGCAGAGGTGCACATTATGCCACTGTACAAAGTAACACCCACTTTTCCCTATTTATGTTATGAGTCCCATGTAATAGAAGGTAAGACTATTGCCAAATACCGGGCACAATTTCAGACTCCGTGCTACTACTGAGAGTTTTTTAAAAACCCAGTAATACTTTGTCCGACCTGTCGCACTTGCGACCAACGAGGCAGTCTAGAACTATGTAGGTATGGTATAATATGAGTCGGGCTGTCTCTAAGATTTAGCAAAGAGTTTTTGCCAAGGGTTCTACATAAATAAATAACTTCACGCCTGTCTCCCATTGCATGGGGGCAAAGGTTCTTGAACTATCTATTTATCTATTTCTCTCTTTCGATGGAAGTGGATGGAACTCTCACTCTTTTTTCACCAATTGAAAGCTATTGTCGCCTTACTTCGATATGGTTCTATCTACAACCGCTCATTGTGCCCTAAAGAACCTTGTAATAGTATTGAACCGTGTGAATACACGTCAACAGTACTGTTTTTGCCTCAAGATTACTCTACAGTACAAAAACAATGTGAACTGTCTCCTGTATTGAAGTTTGCGACACAATTGATGAAAAAAGTACTTTGAAGTGAGCTGAGAATAGTTCTAACTAGTGATTAAGATTTGTTATAATGATAACATGATCGTAAATGGGTAATCAGAAGCAGTAATTACAGTATTGCAGTCACGTAGATCGAAGTTATTGAGGGTAAAAATAACTATAAAAGAATGAAGTAATAGATGCTTCTAAACTGGAAATATTTTTGGACAATATGTGGCCATAGTATTATATCTTACATAACATAACATCACGCCTTTTATCCCCGAACGGGTAGGCAGAGGTGCACATTACGGCACTTAATGCCACTGTACAATGTAACACCCATTTTTTATAATTTATGTTATGAATCCCATGTAATAGGGGTGAGCCTGTTGCCATATACCGGGCACAATTCCAGACTCCGTGTTACTACTATTTTTTTTTTAAACCCAATAATACTTTGCCTGACCCGGGAATCAAACCCGAGACCCTTTGCCCGGCAGTCACATTTGCGACCAACGAGGTAGGCATATCTTATCTTATTAATATATTAAATGCGAAAGGTTGTGTGTTTATGCGTATAGTTGTGACTGAACCACATCAAAACGGCAGAAGGGTTTTTTTTAAGGGGGGGAAATGGCTGCTCCCGCCTGGGTGAAGTGGGAGGGAGTGTCAGACTCATAATGACTAAAAACCACCCCGTTCCTTCTCCTGCACGTCGAGCCGGAGCCTCGGTTACCCGTTAGGTTCTCCGCGAAGGAATGAAATTTGAAGCAGAGGTAGACTACGGTCTGGAATACTCTGTAGGCCACTTTATAGAACATAGGTCATATATTATGGTGACTAGAGACCTATAAGCTCTAATTTAATACATTTTTTACATAAGATAAAAGGATAAACCAAATTAACAGAGTAGATGCCTAATTTTTATTTTAATGTCCTTCTGGTAGATTATATTAAATCATTAGACAAGTATTTTTCATTTTCTTACAGACACGAATACTTTCGACAATATATTCATTTGAAATGTCGCATGATGTCACTTCTATGTACATTTTATACGTAGAAATGACATTATAGCCGCCACTCCTAAACTTTTATTCGTTTCATCTAAGTACTAGCTTTTACTCGCGGCTTCGCTCGCGTCACAAAAGGATAAAAAGTAGACTATGTGTAATATACCAATACACACAGGGCCATCTTTACCAATACTTTTGTTTTTCCTCGGGAATATAAACTTTTCAAATTTTTTTTTAATCCGGACTTCTAACTTTACGTCTGCAAAAATTCAAAGCAATCGGTTTAGTAGTTACGGCGTGAAAGCGCAACAAAGAAACAAACTCACTTTCAGATTTATAATTAGTAAGGATTGTTTTATTGTACGACAAAATAAAAAAATACGTGTCTAATATTTTTTAATTAAGTACCTAACTTATGGACTAATTAGATTTTTAATTTTCATACCCTGTCATCATCCTAATAAACATCAACCACACACAAAGGCAATCCCTAAAAGCATGAACATAGTAAGAAACACAACTCATTTGTTTCATACCCTCACTGAATTCATTCCTTGCAGTATTTTTCTGTTTCGTTCATTAGAGGCTGTACATCCGACACGGCCATCTCTAGTTACAGATAGACTATTTCTCCCCAAGAATTTATACCAACGGGTTCGCCTCGGAAACACTTAACTAAATTGAGTTTGTAGGTAACGGGAAATAAAACATAATACTGCAGCTATCAGAAAACAATACAAATGATTTTTGAACAATGTATTGTTAAGTATTATATGAACTGTCTTGTTGTTCGTGCAGTCGATATAAATCGAGGTTGGAATATGCAATGTCGACAGTACTTAGTAGTATGAAATTGTATTGCAGATTTTTTTTTAGATAGCTGTCGCTAACAATTTCTTCTCTTAACCAGTGCAATTTTAAGTTTGGGAGATCCATGCTTCGGCACGAATGGGCCGACTCGACCGGAGTGATACCACAGCCTCACAGAAAACCGTCGTGAAACAACGCCTGCGTTGTGTTTCGTCGTGTGAGTGAGGTTACCGGAGGCCCATTTACCTCCCTCCCTAGTCCCCGTCTCCCGAATCCCCAAATCCTCCATAATCCTCAATATCCCAATTCCCAAAAGGCCGGTAACGCACTTGTAAGTCTTGTAACGCCTTGGTGTTTCGAGTGTCTATGGGCGGCGCCGATTGCTTGCCATCAGGTGGTCTGCTCGTTTACCGGCTTATGCTATAAAAAAATATCTGTTTTACTTGCCACTTTGTGCTTAATAGGCACACTGCAAAAAGGTGTGTATCAAATAGAACATCTCACAGACTAAACAAAGCCAGAGTAATTTTAAAAGACGACATGTAGTTCCTAATCCCTCTAAAGTTCAATAGGCTGGGAACAAAACATAAGAAAAGTAAAATACAAACCATACCACACGCCCTTGCAATCCTATCGACCGACGCGACGATTCGATTTGAACCTTAACGTTTTACATTTTTATATTTACATAATGATACATAATATATTTCCCATAAACAAGGCATGTCAATTATCTTAAAGCTACTAAGTTAATGATGTAAGGATTCAAAGGCAATTAAGATGCTCGCTTGCAGCCATTCAGTGAAAGCGCGTTCAATTAATCTCCATCACTGTCATTCTCTTTTTATATTGCCTTCATTAGTTCTTCCTTGTCTAAATTAGGTTTCAATTTAATTATCGCTTTTCTTTTTATTCTTTTTACTGTTATCCAGCTTAATTTTTCGTGAAAGAGATTTACAGAAGTCTGTAGTAGTCAGTAGTAGCTATGTCTTTTGCTAGTTGAAATAATTTGCTAATATATTGTAGGTAGGACTGCCTCGTTGGCCGAGTGGTCGTAAATGCGACTGCCGGGCAAGGGGTCTCGGGTTCGATTCCCGGGTCGGGCAAAGTATTACTGGGTTTTTAAATATTCTCAGTAGTAGCACGGAGTCTGGAATTGTGCCCGGTATATGGCAATAGGCTCACCCCCTATTACATGGGACTCATAACATAAATAGTGAAAAGTGAGTGTAACATTGTACAGTGGTATAATGTGCACCTCTGCCTACCCCTTCGGGGATAAAAGCCGTGATGTTATGTTCTGTTATGTTATATTGTAGGTGTTGACGTGACTTAAAGTCGCGTAAAGCTAAGTGAAAGCGTCAAAGAACCTGCTCCGTTGTCCTTGGTAATCTATGTTTCAATGTGTAACTAAATCATCTTTTGTTATATTTCCAGTGTGCCTCACCACATGGGCTGAAGCCCAGATTGGTAGAGGGCAGCACCAAGATCACAACGGACACGGGTGGGACATCCGACTAGCGGTTCCTGGAGAACCGGGCAGTGACTATCCCACCCTTGGCGCTATACCAAGAACATCCTTCTCATGCGCCGGTAGAGAACCAGGTAATGAGCTAATTAAATACTTATTTCAAAATCAATGAGTCGATTTCAACTTGCAACTTTTAACTTAGATTTTGTTTGTGATTTTTATTGTATTTTCTGGTATTTATATTGCTATGAACATCGTACGGGTCATGATTATTGATCATCAATTTTTGTAATTTCAGGTTATTACGCTGACCTGGAAACGAATTGTCAAGTATTTAGAGTATGCACAGTTGGATCAACATACGGCTTCCAATCCTTCCTCTGTCCAAATGGAACATTATTCAACCAGGCAGTCTTCGTGTGTGACTGGTGGATGAACGTCGACTGTCAGAACTCTCAACAGTTCTTCAACAATAACAATGATAAGTTCGAAAACCTTCGGCTAGGACCACAACTCATGAAAGATATAAAGAAGATGCTCACACATCCAATGCTGAACCCTTATGACAAGAATGCTATGAAGAGCAACCTTATCGTAATGCAGGACTACAAACCACCCTTTGGCCAACTGTTCCCAAATGGAGCGTTACTAGCTGGACCCGAGAGGGCTCCAAATAACGTCTATGTTCCTGCAAAACAAATTCAGCAAAATCTAATTCAGGGCAACCAAAACGATTACGCATTTTCTGCGTCTACACCTGATCCAAGATACATTCCTGCTCCTTTAAACTTTGTGCCATTACAAAGAGATACAGAAGTATTCCAAAGGCAAAGACAAAATGAACCTTTTAATTCAGTTAATAGTATCCAAAACGCTAGAGTGCAAACGACACAAATATCGCAGACTGGAAACCTAATTTCTAACGGCCATGCGGGCAGATTTACACAAAATTCAAATGGAAACTTTGTCAATAATAATGGATACGCACAGGCACCACGTCCAACACAAGTAACTAACGCTTTCTCACAGAGACAAACATCACAAGTAGTAAACAACAACCAGGGCAATACACTACCAAACCAAAGAGTTCAAAACAACAGACCACGTGCACAGTATTCTGAACCCAGAAGACTCCCTCAAACGAATAATGAAGTACCATTTTCGAAAATTCAAAACAATGCAAACAATAACCAAAATAAACAACCATATACATACAGCCCGCCGACTACAAATATTCCAAAATATTCAAATAATTTAGATAACCCAGCTGGTAGGGAACTAAAAGAAAATCTGGTAAGTACCATCAAAGATGTTCCATCAACTGTTATTACAAAAACTTTAACGTACAGTAGACTTGTGCAAGAGCCGAAACCAGGTAAACCAAAATCTAGAATAACAGTCAAAACTTGGATTGTTAAACCGACCAAAGCTGCTAAACTTATAGCAGAACCGACCCCCTATACGTATTCAAGGCCTTCAGCGCCCACTCCTTCTTCTCCATCCCCTACAGCTAGGCTCATAGAGGAAAATACTCCATATGTTTATGAAAAGCCAACTGTTTCACCTCAAACTGAAAGAATCGTCTCACAAGAACTGGATTCTGAGTTAGAATCTGAGGAACCTTATGTGTATTCTAGGCCGACGCCTGCTGCTAAACAGATTGAAACCACAGAGATACAAACAACACGAATTTTCATTGCTCCCTCAACAACTTTGCCAACTCGTCCCACGTTTTCTGGACGATTAAACTTGCCACAAACTTCTCCTCTTCCAACGAAGGCTTCTCGTTTGTATCTTACTCCGTCACCATTTATGTCAACTGCTCGATTCTATCTACCACCACCACGAAACCCGACCACACTTCCTCGACTATATTTACCGGTAAATAATATTCAGCAACCCTATTATTATCAAAGTTCTCAATTGCGAGCCTCACCGACCATACCCACATCCACCATTGTAGCTTTTACTGAAAATGTAAACCAAACTCCATTTTCTGTATCCAGACAATCTAGAATCAATTCGAACAATCAAAATTTGACCTTTACTGATATACTAACTAAAGAAAAGCTTGACATAACTGTTAATGATATAGTAAAAGATACAGATAATATTTTGAAAACTGCATCTCCTCCCCAATACATACAATATCAAAAAGAATTCAAATCTCTCGAATACCCAGAAAACTATTCGTCGTCCAGAACAACCACTGACAGCGGTGAAAATTTGACGTCCCAAGTTCCGACACAAACCACAACGGTCACTTCACAAAGTTCTCGAATTGTAGCGACACCAGCGACCAGTCTGCAACCTCCAAACGAAAACTTTATATTTCAAAACAATAATCGGCTCTCGAACTTACCCTTCTTCAAAGAAACTGGCATACCAAACACAATAGAGCGCACGGTATCCATAAAAATAACCATCCCAGAGAGAATCGCTGCATTTCTTTTCAAAAACCGCAGTGATTCTGACTATGACAAGTTAGAAATACTGAATACTGGAAGCAGCAACTACTTAGTCATGAGTAATAACTTATTAACGAAAAGTAATGCGTTTAACTTCATTCCCATAGCAAAATTAATTGGGAACCAAAACTCAAACAACATTTCTGATTCACAGGCACTCGTCTATTCATTTTTGACTGACTCTATCAACGTAGCGAGAGAATACAACAACAGAGCACAACAAGAGATAATATCATCTACATCGACACCCGCACCACCACAATTCCAGAACTTAAACAGTGAGAAACTATCACAAATTACAAATCAAATATCACAGCTTACCTCATCACAATACTCTAGTAACAACCTCAACAGCTTTGGAACTAACGCAAACATGATTCCAACACCAAAAACGAATACTAACCAATTTTCTAATCAATTTACCGACGAAAAAAGTCAAGCCCAACAAATACGCACTAATCAATTCACGCCGTCACAACAAACTCAAGGTGAATTTTACTCATCACGCATACAAGTTCCTAACACTCAGTCAAATATTCTTAGCACCCAAAACTTATACAGTGGTCAATTATATCAATGGTCTGTTCCAGATGTCACACAAATCTTCAACAATCCAAGCGCAGCAAACATCGTAAATCCTAGCAACATACAACAGCAGACTACACAAATGCTCACTTTACAACAAAACACAAATCAAAACAGTCCGAAGCAATCAAGCCCTCAATACGAAGTTGTTAAAGCTGAAACTATAGCTTTAAATCCAGCCAAACTGCAACTCGAGCCGCCTAATGAACCTGAACAATTTAACAGTCAAGAGACTCTCAATAGAATATTAAACAGTGGAAATGGTATTTCAGCACAACTACAAGATAAAATTGTCAGCACAATCCCACACCCATTAGAAGAAAATAAATTGCTCACATATAAAAAAGATCAGTCTTACTACCTTTACACTAAATTAGAAGACAACACTATTGAACAAAATTCTCAAACAAACCAGCAAAGCAATTCACAAATCAAAACTGCACAGAATGCTAAATTAGTTGAGGGTACAAACAGTAATATGGCTAATTTAGTTTCATTTCAACTTATACCGTCAGTTAGTTATGAATTGGAGGATGAGAAAGAACAGCAGAAATTCCTTAATGCCTTCCAAATTGATGAGTTTGGAGCTCCAAGAGACATCATGAAGAGTGAAAAGGTAAATCAAGGACAGATAATGACTTCTAGCGTTGATTACTCCGTAGAACACCCTACGACAGTTAAACAAAATGAACAATACGTAATAAACCCTCTTTACTCTGGTCCCTCCTCATACACTGCCCCTCAATCTTCGGTTGGCAGTTTAGAATCTAGACAGATCCAACAAAATAACTTTAATTCTAGATTAGAAGATTTTGATAGTAGTAATCATAATGGGTACCCGAAGGAACGACCGGCACGCCATTTTTTTTCTTGAACTGTTAACTAAATGAAAGTTGAATCTGTGTATGTACGTGTCTATGTAACTACGTAGTTAATGTTATCTACCTTATGTAAATACAATTAGATTTAAGATATAAAATATTATCTAAACTTAAGTAAATGAAATAAACATTTCTAGACTTGACTGCAACCAAAAACGAGAGAATCAAATAATAATTTTAGCTTAATAAGAATTAGTTTTAAAAGGAATACTCGTTAACTAAAGTTAGAATAGATAAGTTTGGATGGAGGTGTGGTTGTAATACAAATTATGTTTGTGATAATAAAGGAATATTATAATTGGGACTTTCATTTAAATCTATACAAGTATGTAAGTGTGTTATTTATTGATACGTTAGCAGGCAAAGATGTAGTTATGAGTACTTATGACAGTGACCAGCAGCAACCTACTTCAATATATCAAAATTCGTTAGATTTTCGACTTTATGTCAATACAATAAAAGAATAAGTTGGCCTTATGGTAGTGGCCAGCAGGCAGAATGTACGGTGTTACATAAACAAACATATTTGCGTATAACGACTTAGTTAACGTACTGTCTAGTTGGCCGAGTGGTCGCAAGTGCGACTGCCGGACAAGGAGTCTCGGGATCGATTCCCAGGTCGGGCAAAGTATTACTGGGTTTTAAAAAAAAACTCAATGGTACCACGAAGTCTGGAATAATGCCCGGTATAATTACGTGATTGACATTATCTTTAATTTAAGGATGGTAAGGCAAATTGGTTTCAATTAGAAGACGGATGAATATGAAATTAAAGAATTATGCTACTGAAGTCTCGGGTCAAAGACTACCTTGTTAGAGTTCCATCATTACGACCTCATTCATAGCTTAACAGCAGGTAAAAACAATTTTCTTATACTCTTTCATACATCGTGATTTCATATCTTGTAAACCAATCATCTTTTATAGTTTCATAGATACACCGGTGCGGTGTATAAAGGGCTGTCGACCCGGGAGGTCGCTACAGGCGCCAGCGTGCCGCGATCTCAGGGCGCCGCACGTTAGGAAATCAAACGCTGAATATTAACATGACGTCACTAGACAACATTTTCAAATACTTTGAATACAGGAAATGGAAATAGTACATCGTAAGTAAATAGTTCGGATATTTAATACGACAGTCGTTTAACAGAACTAGAATGCGTATTCTTTTCTGAGTGGATTATTATAAAGGTCTTGAGTTCGATTCATGGGTTGGGCAAAGTATTACTTATCGAGTTATTTATTTATTTATTGAATACTAGCGACCCGCCCCGGCTTCGCACGGGTGCAATATGTATATGCATACACCTTCCTTAAGAATCACTCTATCTATTAAAAAAAACCGCATCAAAATCCGTTGCGTAGTTTTAAAGATCTAAGCATACATACGGACATACAGCGAAAGCGACTTTGTTTTATACTATGTATTGATATTGATTTCTCAGTAGACAAATTAGGTACACAGAGACTGGTATTCTGGCAGATGTATATAATAATAGACTCACCACCAATTATAATCTTGTAGGTACATAAGAATTATAAAGTGGATGTTACATTCTTGCATTGTGTAAGTACCTAGCTACCCTTCAGCCTACACCTGCTATTTAGGTAACTGTACGGATATAAGTGGGAATTGCAAAACATTGTGATATATTCCGAAGAATAATCCCTAAATCCTTAAATAATCTGTATTTTCATTGCACAACAAAATGCAATTATTGTTCAATATTACCCAATTTGGAAAAATCTTGCGCCATAAGGAAAGATATATAAGTGAAGCGTGTATCAAGCCATCCTCATTCATAATGGACAGTTTGTTGAGTAAGGCATATTGATTTAAAAAATACATGTCATAACTATTAATCTATCAGTTTAGTTTTGTGTTACAGAGTTCGATGACCTGAATGGATGGAGGCGCTCAGCATTGAAACAAGTCAGGAAACTACTACTGAAGATGTGTGTGCGACCGATAAAAGCTGTGACCCAGATCCTATTAGAGAATGGTATAGACAACGTAAACGATCACGAAGTAGATCCAGGTGCAAATATGATAGACACAGAGGAAGATCCCGTAACCGTTCTAGAGATCGATCCAGCAACCACTTCAGAGACAGATCCCGTAGCTGCTCTCGTCGACTATCTAAGGAGAGATCTCGTAGTCCGTCCATGATCAGGTCTCGCTGTGGTTCCAGTGAAAAATCACGTGGTGACTCCAAGGTAAGATCTCGCAGCCGCTCTATAGGAAGATCTCGCAGCCGCTCTAGAGGAAGATCTCGCAGCCGCTCTAGAGGAAGATCTCGTAGAGGCCCAAGAAGGAGATCCCGTAGTTGCTCCATAGGAATAACTCGCGTTTGCTCCAAAAAGCGACCTCGTCTTCGCAGCAGGGAAAGATCCCGTAGTCAATCCCGGGATAAGTGCACTAAATTGGGATTGCGCGATCACGCTTTTTAATAATATGATAGGTAACAAGATAATACAATAATGTGTTTGATACATTGATTAAAACAAACAATAATTACGTGCATATTTGTGTTAAGTGTTTATAAATATTTTCTTATCTCTTGATTACGATGAAGAGATATGCAAGAATATTAATAGTACCTATAGTGTCTATCTGTCATAACTTAGGTATATTACCTATTACTTATTTTTTATCCTATGTTAAGTATGCTAAATACCTAATTAATTATTATTCGGTATTCTCGTCGAGTACCGTCATTATAGACACAATTATAGAACAATAGGTTGCGGAGACTGGAGTCTTCCATCAGGCGGATCACCAGCTGCTCCTCACTTCAGAGTGCAGTGCTTCAAAAACATCCTTTCTTATTATTTTTTTCACTATTATAATAAAATACCATCACTCAAGTCACTCTAGACAGTCTAGATAGTATTTAAACTAAGTAACAGTCTTACTACCCAATAAAAATAAGTCTAGACATTGAGTTATCTAACCATTAAGTAAGATTATTTAATAATAAATAAATAAAACATAAACCCTTTCCGTTTTATTTTATTGCCTTTTTGTGTGTAAAACGAATTATAAGAATGGTATGGTATATTAACCTCACAATGGTGCAAAAATATACTCAGTCCAACTTGTTTCGATTTCGATTCTCGCACGGAATTAACAGTAATTCCGTGCAAGAATCGTGAAATTTATGTAAACAATGAATGACTTTCCCGAATAAAAAAAAATTGGCTAACATAAAAGTTTTGATAAATTCCCAGTTTCTGAACGTGACCGTGAACAGGCGCGGGAAAGTAATTGTTCAAACAGCTGTCAAATGTTGAAAAGAAAATGGAAACTTGTTGCTATGACAGCCATAAGTTGTTTTTATTTCGTTGTTTTATTTACCTCTTGGATACCGCTGGTAATAATATCGATTGAAATATAGTTTTACTTCGATATAATTACGTCGAAGTACTTTAAACTGTCAAACACCAAGCGGTCACCGGTGACCGCAACCTATTGTTCTATAATTGTGTCTGCAAAACCGGTACTCGACGAGTTAAATATGTTAAAAATGGGTGAAACGTGTGATTAGTGCAAGTTTTCTAAGTAACCAATTGTAAACTTATTTCCAGGAAGCGGTAATGTTATTATCTAATATTTATTTATAGTTACGAAGTCCAGAGTACTATAATTTTCGTTGCCAACTTGTAATAAGTTGACAAAGGATTTGATGGATAAGTTGTGAGGTACCACATGAACTAGTCTGTAATTAAACATAAATAGGTAGGTATCCTATGTAGGCAGGCTTGTTTAGTTATTTTATGTAAAGATAATGTATAGTTATTCCTCTATATCTGACTAACCTTTCAAGTCAATGTTAGCTCAATCTATTGGTGATAGCATTGCATAAGACTATGGAACATTCAACTACTTACAATGAATAAAATACATGTATGATAATTCTCCATGAATGATTTTCAGCACCATCATCAAGATGTGGTCCAGTAAAAGTCTTAACGCTCTGCAAGAATTGCATGTGTTATCAGACTCGGATAGTCCGTCCGTAACTACGGAAGACTATGAAATGTTCATTGATTTGTACAATGATCCAAGAGTGAAGTGGTTCAGGGACCGTATCCTTGCCTTCATTGGCATGGATGATGAAGAACTCTTCTACAACATGTTGGATTACGAAGATGCTAAGCAGAAGTTCATAAATTTCTTAATGACCACTATCAAGTCTGGTGAAATGTCTCTGAATAAGAGGATGATGTATGTATCCAAAGTGATTGTCGACAAGTTGATTCATGAAGATAAAGAATTTACTGAGTGGAGTAAGTATAAATTGAAGTCCAATTGATATCTGCCATAGATTTGAGTGCATGAGGCTTCCAAAGATTAAATAATAATAAAATATTTGTAATGGTAACATAAAACCAGACCGTCTCATTTTCTTACTGGTACAATTTTAACATTCTCTATTGTATTTTTTAACTAATAACTAGTAACTACTAACAAATTATGTATTATTAGCATGGGTGCCCATTGAAAATCAGTGCTGGGTGACTTGTATGCCTGGCTTACACTGAGTGAGTGACCCTTTCAGCATAGGCATGTTGTCAGCGTCTCTCGTCTAATTCTTCTGTTTTAATATTTCAACTCAATGTTTTTATTTCTTCCACTGTCACCTTTATTGTTTTTTTTTATATTTTATTTGTGCTGCTTCGTGCCTGATGCTGAATAAATGTTTTTCTTTATTTCTAAATTAACTGAACAATTTAGTTCAATTTATAAGTAAGTTACTTATATTATGTATGTAACTAAACTAATTCTTAACTGTAGAATAAAATTGACATTTGAACAGTTTTTAGTATGGAAGAACTGTCAAATATTCAAAATTATTTCTCAAATAAAAAAGAGGCCTAGTCATTAATTTTTCATAGCCATCATCAGTCTGTTTCTATCCATAGATGTACCCTTACACTATAAATATTAACTCAAATTATAAAAAATTCAGGAATCATACCACCAGTGATTGTGGAGGCCCCACCCCAAAAAGGTAAGAAGGGTAAGGGGAAAGGTAAAGAAGCGAAGAAGCCGGAAGGTGAGGATGCTAAATTGGCAAAAGGCAAAGGCCAAAAGGGTGTTAAGACCACAAAAAGCAAAATAGGTAAGAATAATATCATTTTTCATCATCATTCAACTTTATTTTTAATTTACTTGTTGTAGGTATCATGTAGTGGTCCATTGTGAATTTACTAGGTACTCTACAGAATACCTACTAAAAGTTTTAAAATACTCTACTTATTTTTAACCTCGACTGCCTCGTTGGCAGAGTGGTTGCAAATGCGACTGCTAGGCAAGGGGTCTCGGGTTCGATTCCCAGGTGGGACAAAGTATTACTGGGTTTTTTAAAACAAAAAATTGACAGTAGTAGCACGGAGTTTGGAATTGTGCCCGGTTTATGGCAAAAGGCTCTCCCCTATTACATGGGGCTCATAACATAAATAGTGAATTTAAGTGGGTGTAACATTGTACAATGGCATAATGTGCCACCGCCTACTCCTTCGGGAATAAAAGGCGTGATGTTACATAATATTATATATATTATTTTTAAATGATTAAGTATACTTATTCTATTGCAACAGTCTAATTTACTATTTTAATGTGATTTTTTAACACATTTTTTACACAACTCTAAATTATGTCTATTATTTATTTATTTATTTTCAGATGAAATTCTTCCTTCAACTGGTGGTAAGTGCAATTTGTACAATAAATAGATACTGAATAAAATATTAAATCAGATTCATACTATACAGAGTGTAAACGGAACGCACCCAAAAACTAGTGTAAATGAAAATCATGTGATGGTAAAATTTTCTTAAAAGTAAGGAATTAAATATTTCTATTATGTAATAATAGTTGTAATCAACTGTTCAAGGTTGATGTTGCACGAATGACACTAAAACAAAAACTATTAAAATTGAAAAATATTTTTTTTTGTTTCGGGTGCTTTTAATTACACCCTGTAATATGACCACTTTACCTGATTGAGGCAATACAAAATACTAGTTATTAAGCCAAAAAAGGGCTTCCCTATTCAAGCTTTTTTATTGTTTATCTAGAAGCGGACGTGGAAACAGCAGCAGGTGCCATGATAGGTGCTGGTGATGATGACGAGAAGATGATGAAAGAAGACGATGGAACTTCTGTAACCACTGAGGACAAATACTATTTTCCGCCACGTAAGTATAGCTTCAGGACAGTGTAGTGACAAATTACTGATTTTGGGTGACATATAAAAATGAGCTTTGTAGTTGTACAGTGAAAGTTGCGATTTGAACGAATTTACCTATTTGTATGTCATAATTGGGATGATGACTGGGTATGAAAATTAAAAATCTAATTAGTCCGTAAGTTAGGTAATGAAAAAATATTAGACACGTATTTTTTTATTTTGTCGTATAATAAAACAATACTTGGATAAAACGAATCAAAGATTAGGAGTGGGGGCTAAAACGTCACTTCTACGTATTTTTTTTTAAGGGGTGAAAATCATCAAATGTCTTCTCCCGCCTGGGTGAGGCGGGAGGGAGTGTCAGACTCTTACAGAATAAAAACCACCCCGTTGCTTCTCCTGCACGTCGAGCCGGAGCCCCGGTTACCCGTTAGGTTCTCCGCGACATTTCTACGTATTAAATGTACATAGAAGTGACGTCACGCGACATTTGAAATCAGTATATCGTCGAAAGTATTCGTTTCTGTAAGAAAATAAAAATTACGTGTCTAATGATTTAAAATAATCTATGAGACGGACATTAAAATAAAAATTAGGCATCTACCCTATTCAAAGGTGTGACATTGTGTATGTGTGTGTGCGCTCTTCAACTAATGTTTTAGTTATTGAACACTTCACCGAAGTTACACCTGGTTATAGCCATGAGCAGATTTATTTGGTGGCAGTCCCAAAAATTTAAGAAGCTTTTTTCATTAAATATTTTATTACAGCGCCAGAAAATCTTGATCCTGAAGTCGATGGAGTTCTGGAGTTCTATACCGTTGTTGTAAGAATATTATCCAATTTATACACATGTGTTTGATTTGTGATTTAGCAATTATTACATTATGCTTGCATTTATGTATTATTTGAGCTGAATTGAGCTTTTTACACACTGTAGTATATTTATTAGCTGTTGCCCACGACTTCGTCCGCGTAGAATATCAATTTTATAATAGAACAATTTTTTTTGTCAATTTTCTAAAATGTTACTCTTTAGTAAATCAACTACCCGCCAATAAAGGTCCTGTCAAAATCGGTCTAGCCATCCCAGAGATTAGCCAGTACAAACAGACAGACAAACAAAAATTGTAAATAATGTTATTTTGGTATGTGTATCGTATGTATATTCATATGCATGTCATATAGTAAAAAGCAGTTATTTTAGTATTACAAACAGACATTCCAATTTTATTTATTTTAGTTTATTTGATGTTCAGTTTTATTTTTTCTTTATGTTTATAACTGCAGTGTACAATAATAAATAAGTAGGTGGTGTTTACCTAAGTAACATCTAAAATTTAGATTATCCTAAAATATTGTTGAATAGCTTTACCTTCCATTAACATTGTCTCCACTCCTGCAGCTGTAGCCAAATATGGAATTGACGTAAATTTTGACACTTGTCCGTGTCATCCCCATACATTTTGATTTCTACTCTCTTTGTAGACAAGCGCTAAAGTGGCTTTTTTCTCTAAAGGTCCTGTATTGAATAGACAAGTCACGTAGAGAGCAGCCACGTTAACTTTGCAATCGTGAAACGAAAATACTGAACATAAATTTCAGAAACCCAACAACTAAATATTTTAAATATTATTTTCGGCTTAACTGTTTAACGAGGAACTCGACTAGTTTCAAGCCATGCTAGAGGCTTTGCGTCGACCCGGGATTCGAATTTTACGTCTTCGCAGCCACCGGCGAACGAATTTAACGTGCCAGCGGTGTCGCGCAAGCCGCGGAGAACCTAACCTAACCGCGACCTAACGGTACCGGGGGAGCCCCGGTAGGCTCCAGCTCGAAGTGCATGAGTAGGAACGGGGTGGTATTTAGTCAGTAACAGTCTGACACTCCCTCCCGCCTCACCCAGGCGGAAGAAGTCATTCGATGATATTCCCCCTTTAAAAAAAAAGCGGTGTCGCGCGCGCTGCCACAGATGGAGGTGCGTGCGCGTGAATCACGGCAGAAGGCACGTTGAGCCCGCACCGCAGCTGACTGGAGCAGCCAGTAACAGCGACAGTCGTGGAATGCTGCTCATGAATATGAGCCTCTAGCATGGCTTGAAACTAGTCGAGTTCCTTGTCAAACAGTTACGTGAGTAAGTCGAAAACAATAATTGATTGAGTATGTCCCACAAAAGTTTTATTATAAACTAAATAATATTTCCGACGTGTATTCCCTCAGAGATCAGTACCCCGTGTAATCCAATATCCTCAACTGATCCCAATCTTCGGCGAGCTAACTCCTCAACTAGCGCACCGCAACCGTCGCTACCTCTACTTCTTACGGCAGATACAGGAGCCCATACCTCTCAGTGAAACTGAGAAGTTCACCACGTTGAAGATGCCTGATTACTTCTTAACTGGAGTCTTCACTGGGAAGGTCCTTATGAGTCTTGGAGTGCATTTGAAAGAGGTATGTTTAATATGTACTGCGAAGTAAAACCCATTTGTTACTACACTCCCCATACGCCCTTCTCAGGACTTATATCAATTCAAACCTTAGAAGTGAAGTTGATCATTCGCATTCTCCCCCGTCATTGGTCAAAATTGTTCTCAGAACCAATGACATGGCGGGCCGTAATTGAGTTCACTTCGATCATTCGAATTGAAAGTTACAGAATAATCTAGCAGGAGTCATTAATTTGATGATTTTCCCCCTTCAAAATAGATCCTCTTCCTGCGAGTGTCGCTAGGGCCGCCTAGGGAACCAAATGTTTGGCAGAAACTGGATAGCAGCGCTCACTCTGATAAATACCTTTAAAATTACGATCTTTTTCTCACGTACCAATTGGGGATTGTGGCAAACCCCTCTTATGTAGAGGAGGGCCTTAATTTTTATGGCGTAAGCTGGTAAACGTGCAGACGGATCACCTGATGGTAAGCAATCGCCCATGGACACCTCGAATACTAAAGGCGTCACAAGTGCGTTACCGACCATTTGGACATTAGGAGTTTGAGGGTCGTTGGGGATTCAGGGTGGACATTGGGGAAGGGGCCGAAGGGGAGGGGGGTAATTGGGTCTCCGGTAACCCCAATCACTCGACGAAACATAACGCAAGCGTTGCTTCACGTCGATTTTCTTTGACGCCGTGGTGTCACTCCGGTCGAGCTGGCCCATTCGTGCCATATCATGGCTCTCCCACACTTAATTCAGCAGTTTTATTGCCCCCTTCCTTTATAATATAGGACAGACAGCGGCCTAGCAGTTAGTCTTTTTATTCGCCTTTATAAATATAAATTCTCGGTCTTCAGGCTACGATCCCGTTGTTCGAGAGACAGTTCCGTGAGATTACGTTGATGTCGACAGACTCTAGCCACGCCATGCTGACCAGGCAGGCTTCTTTTGCTGGAGCTCATCATGAGATCTTAGATGCTGGGTCCCAGGTATGTAAGTTTGTCAGTTAAGCAAAAGTTTACCTTATTGTACTTGTAATAAGGGTCATGAACATTTTGTACTTCGGTACATGTGTTGTAACCACAAACATGTTTTAGTAGTTGTGTTAAGTCCCATATTGTAAGAGAGTTGCACCATTCTAGATTTTGTTCTTTTACTGAAAACCAATAAAGCCCAAAAATATTTAGACTCACCTGCGAATCTAATCTGAGGCCTCTTACGCATTATGTCCCGATTATCAGGGTAGTCACTTTAAGGTCGGTTTTTCCAGTAACTTTGAATATTTGACAATTCTTCCACTGTAAAAACTGTCAACTGTCAATTTTATTCTTCAGTTAACAATTAATTGATGATTGAAAAATCGGCTCTAAGAATCAATTAAACAAAAATCAACCTTATTATAATTTAAAAAATAAGGTTGAGAATTAATATCATAACAGAGAATAATTTTCATGTTCAGGTGAACTATCTTCGGCCTTCAGATTACAGAAGAATGTCTAACATAGCTAGAGGAGAAAATGCTGAAAGAAGGTGAGTCAAGAAATGTGTTGACTTTTGAAAAAAACATTCACACACAGTTACGTAATGACGTGGGAGAACCAGCTTGACTGGAGTATACGCGGGTCTCACAGGAAACTGGCGTGCAACAAATACAGCGTTGTTTGCAGCCTTGTTAGTAAGTTTTCGGGAACCCTAATCCCCGCTCCTCTCCCCTACCCCTCACCCTCTCCCCCCCTGAAACCCCTGATCCCTCTTCCCCTCCGCCTCCCCCTCTCCCCGAGATGCCGACAACGCACTTGTTACTCCTCTGATATTGTGAATGTCCATAGGCGACGCTGATTCTGTGAGGCTGTGATATCAGAAAGACGGCGTTGAAGTCCGTTTCTTTAAACGTAGTTTTTAAAATAATTATTCTTAGACAATATTATTTCGTTTAACAGAATGAAGAACATGCATGCGTCGTCTGATGAAGCTTTTGACCGTTCCATGGAGAAGTCTATGACGCATCCGGCATCGTCACCTGTACGTACATATGTATACTCAGTGTTGAAGGCTTAGTGCAGATATTTTTTTTTTACGTCGACGCGATTTACAAATTACCTCATACGGAGTGTAAACATAACGCCCCCGAAACGAAATAGTCTTTACATTTTTCATCGTTTTCCGTTTTCGTGTTATTCGTATTATATACTTATATATTACTAGCTTTTATCCGCGGCGCGCTCGCGTCACAAAAGGATAAAACGAGGCCTATGTGACATATACCAATACACACAGCGCTATCTATACCAATACTTTTGTTTTCCCTCGGGAATATCAAATTTTTCCGGGATAAAAAGTGCCATATTATTTAATCCAGACTTCTAACTTTACGTCTGCAATCGGTTTAGTAGTTCCGGCGTGTAGGCGGAACAAACAAACAAACTCACTTTCCAATTTATAATATTAGTAAGGATTATATACGAATATTAATTCGTATATAATATGTATTATATTAAAATATACGTACTTTCGCAGAGCACCGCAATATCCAGCGCGTCATTGGCTGAGGTAGGCACTGCTGGTACAGATGAAAAGACTTCAGCTGATGAAGTCATCACAGACATCAAGGATTTAGTCGCTATAGTTGACTGGTATGTGTTCTGTTGCAAGGTGTTATCCGCGACGTTGCGCGACAAGCCAATACCGATTCCTTATTGTTAGTCCCAACTATCTATGTTTATATGCAAAATATTCAAGAAGATTGATCAAGGCTCATATTCATGAGCACTCATTGGGCCCGCACCGCAGCTGACTCGAGCTGCCAGGTCACCGTGTCGCGGGTCGTGGAATGCTGCTCATGAATATGAGAATATGAGAAACTAGTCAAATTCCTCGTCAAACAGTTACGTCAGTAAGCTAAAAACATAATAATTAATTTAGTAGTAGCATGAAGTCTGGTATCTGCCCGGTATATAGCAATAGGCTCACACCCTATTCCATGGGACTCATAACATAAATAGTGAAAAGTAAGTATTACATTGTACAGTGGCATTAAGTGCCGTAATGTACACCTCTGCCTTACCCAACGGGGATAAAAGGCGTGATGTAATGTTTACGTATATATGTGAACAATACAGGACTATAGAACACATTGAAGGCGAGATCCAGCTTCCGATGCCGAACATACCGATGTTGTACGAGGACCACACGGTGGAGGTCGTTGACCCCGAGCTGGTGTCGCAGCTGGAGGAGGCGGTCATGATGTGGCAACAACATATTGATAGTACCATCGCTGTATGTTTGGGGAAGGTCAGTTATACAGATTTGTAGATTTTCGACTCTATTTCGAAGTGATAAAACTTAAGATCTAATGTAGCTATTAGAAATGAATCATTGAGGTTTTTAAATTATCAGTTATTATTATTAAATCATGTAAAAACTAGTAAGCGGAAATATTTTGTGTTAATATTTCGAATATAGCTTATTAAGATCGAAATATGTGTAAGCGCCATCTACCTAATAATGTAGGAACTTCTTACTTAGAAAGCTTCATTTATTCAAAGATGGCGTTACGTGCAGATTTTCAACATTTCTCAACTGTACATTTTAATAAAAAGATACTATAAAGATAATATACCATACTATCATCTAAATAGTTTTATACATTGTATACAGACTCCTTAAAGGATACTGCATAATAGAAGTTCTTTTAAAACTTACTGTGTAGTAGACTACAAGTTCACTTCACAATTGAATTACTGTAAAATCGTGTATTATGTGCTTACCTCCCTATACACACATGATAATCATTAAGTTCTTTTGTACCTACCAATAGACTCGAGAAGGCGACGGACCAGTAGCAGAGTACAAGTACTGGCGCGAGCGAGACGCTGAAATATCTCTACTAGTTGAACAACTAAAGCAGCCTATGGTGGTCAAGATATTGAATCTGCTTGAACGAGCCAAGTCTACCTATCTGGAAGTAAGTAATATACAAGACTATTGTCGAAATACTAAAACGCCACTGAATTCGTCTTCGAAGCCTTTTGACCTTCTATCGGATACATTTCGAGGAGCGTGCGTGGGAATTGTACAACCTTGTTCTCCTTTGTCTCACTCACTACTTAGCAATACCCCTTCAATATCTTATAGTCCAATATAATGTTATGCCTTTTATTCCCTGAACGGTTAAACAGACATCAAATAGCAAGTACTTTTTTATTTATTTAAGGACAACAAACAACGCATACACATGATAGGTTTTTAACAATAATAATTATTATTTTAACATTCGCGCAAAGTACGACCGGGTTTTTTAAAAAAATCTCAGTGGTAGCATGGAGTATGGAATTGTGCCTGGTGGACTCATAACATAAATAGTGAAAGGTGGGTGTTATATTGTAGTGGCATTAGGTGCCGTAATGTGCACCTCTGCCCACCCCTTCGGGGATAAAAGGCGTGATGTTATATTATGTTATGTTGTTAAATTTTAATACGAGTTTTCATCGCTTATTTCATGTAATAATGATTAACTTTAACATTATTCTGTATAACCTTTACAGGGCTTTAAAAACTACAAAGAAAGATTGGTTGACCAGTACAATATGGCGAGCGACAATTTGAAGTTCCTGTCCACTTTGATGCGATTCTTCACTGTAAGTATAATTTATTGATCTTATAATGCTATGTACTTTTCGCCATTTGCGTTTACAAATGGAATTGAAAGCGATTGAGATTGAGATTATTGTTTGTTTGTTTGAACGCGCTAATCTCCGGAACTACTGGTCCGATTTGAAAAATTATTTCTTTGTTGGATAGCCCATTTATCGAGGAAGCCTATAAGCTATAAAACATCACGCTACGATTAATAGGCGCCGAACAGAGCGAGTGAAACCGCGCGGAAGTAGCTAGTCATCATTTAACTCGTCGAGTACCGGTTTTGTAGACACAATTATAGAACAATAGGTTGCGGTCACCGGTGACCGCTTGGTGTTTGACAGTTTAATTGTATACACTTTTCGGAGTTAGAAATATTAGAATATGGACTACCTATTTCCTACAGTTTTTGTGTTTTGTGCTATCAACACAAAATATTTTATCATCCGTCCGTGTTTTTTATAATATTAACTATATACTTATCCCAATGTTTTAAATATCTAGGTAATAGAAGACGAGTCCACACTGCCACAAGTGATAGAGATTCTCCCGGAACTAGTGGAGAGTATCTACATGATGTGGGTGCTCTCCAAGGGGTACAGAACTGATGACACCATGGTGCCTCTACTGGCCAGGATCTCATGGGCGCTCAGTGATAAACTGGAGAATATACTTAATGTGCATAAGTTGTTTGAGTAAGTATAAAATGTTTGTGTTTATTTCTGTGTTGAGATTGGTGTAGACTACATTTTTACTTATAAAAATAACTGAGAATAGTATAGTTTTAGTTCACCAGATATTTACCGAAATAGGTAATGGTCTGGCCATGAGCTATGAGACAAAACTCCATCGCCGATGGACTTGATATCTTCAACCTATATCTCAATTTAGAAACCAAACCACTGATGCGCAGTCGCGGAGGACTTCACGGGTTATCAGGGCTCTGGCTCGAAATGCAGGAGAAGGAACGGGGTGGTTTTTAGTCAGTAAGAGTCTGACACTCCCTCTCGCCTCACCCGGGTGGGAGAAACCTTTGGATGATTTTACCGACTCAAAAATAAAGAGAGACCAAATCAATCAATTGTATACTTACCTGCTTCGCTTACCAATGAGGCATTATCGAATTAACCGTCGATAACTTGTCCATAATGTCCTTGGAACTGGCCAAAAATATCTTAACTTCATATTAATTTGATTTGACCGTTATTCGAAGCTTATTTAATTGAGATAGGTCTTCTGCTTCCCTCCTTCCGCTTTTTCTATATGTCTATCTCTTTCTTTTATGTCCCTTCCACTTGGCAGTGGTGGGGAGGCTTGCTAAGAGAGACTCGCAAGTATTATTTCATTGAGTCTCATTACCAGGCAGAGCTTGCTTATAAGCTTCGAATAGGGTAAGTAAATTAATATACATTTTATTGGTTGGTAAAACGCTTCTATTTCTTCTAGCAAACCAAACGAGGAAGTATTATCTCTAGCCAGGAACTCTCAGAAAATAATGGAGATGTGGCACGACTTGTACCGTGAGACGCGCCGTAACATAGAGATGAGTGGCAAGGGCGCGCGCTGGGAGTTTGACCAGCCGCTACTGTTCACACAGACCGACTACATCGGGACTGTCGCTAGGGATCTCGGGGATGTCGTACAGGTAGGGGACATATGGCTCATGTATCCAGATACTAATGTTATATTTTAAGTCATTTATCACCACTCCTATTCTTCCCGAGGGTTTTCTAAAAACTTTCTTGGTGTACTACATGGACAAGACATCAGGCTGGTAAACGCGAATCTTTTAAGTTTGATCTCAAATCAGCCTGCTGAACATGGAGGTTTAATTATAGCTTATTATCTCATATAGAGAACGTCGTAGCCCAACAGAAACTATCACAGCCTGTAAATGGTGACAATTCCTATGTTGTACACTTAAAACTTTTTTTATGACCTTTAAATCGTACGGGTTTGATTACCGGGTCGGACAAAGTATTACTGGGTTTTAAAAATTTCAGTAGTAGCACGGAGTCTGGAAATGTGCCCGGTATATGGCAATAGGCTCACTCCCTATTCATAAATAGTGAACATACTCATAACATAAATAGCGAAAAGTGGGTGTTACATTGTACAGTGGCATTAAGTGCCGTAATGTGCACCTCTGTCTACCCCTTCGGGGACAAAAAGGCGTGATTTTATATGTTATATGTAAATCGTACATATGAAGCAAGTATTACAAAACAAAACTTACGGCGGCTTAATATACGGCGATTTATCCAACGCGAATAAATTTTTACTGAGGAACAACTTTGATTTTTTGACAATTCTTCCTTACTAAAAACTGTCAACTGTCAATTTCATTCTACAGTTAAGACTTAACTAATTGAAAAATCGACCCTTAAAGTTGACAATGAGCGATATAAGTACTTAACACTGCAAAAACGTAATTAGTACTTCTCTATTTAATTTCCTTAATTACTTTTAGGTCTTAATAGACTTCGAGCGCATATTCGGTTTGGAACTCAAATCCATTATCAGCGACCCAACACAAATAGATGACGTGCGCAAACGCGTGAAGAACTTAGTCTTTCCGATACGAACGATCGACTTTAGCGTGTTCGTGTTCGATAATAAGGAAAATTGGGACGTTATCATGGGTGACTTCTGGAATGAAGTCAGATATTTAGAAGATGAAGCTAAAAACTATATCAATCAGAGCTTTGGGAATTTGAGGTATGTATGGATACTTAATGTAGTTATGATAGATTTTTTAACCGACTTCACAAATATTTATTTTTATTTATTTATTTTTTTTTTTTTTTAAACGTTGCCCCACACTAGGATTTTCTCCTGTGTCGTGGGTGCGTTTACAAACATACAATATCACATACACATCACATCCAGACCCGAAACAACAATTTGTGGATCACACAAAGTGTTGTTCCGTGCGGGAATCGAACCCGCGACACGTTGCACGGCAGCCGGTTGCCCAGCCACCGCACCAACCGTGCAGTCATATATATGTATATTTGACGTGTATTTATTTATGTATGTATTTTTGTGCGCGATTATCTCGAAATTTGCTAAATCGATTTTGATGCGGTATTCAGAAAAGTGTTTGTTACACTTTGGTTTTACTTTTAAGGTTAAATTAGCTTAGATTTTTTTGTATGTTTAGTGTATTAACTGACTTCAAAAAAAGAGGTAGTTGAAGTCGATTTTTATAACGTAGTTAATAATAGACTTATTTGTTTTGATAATTGAAATGAGAGGGCAGTTACTATGGTCTATCTGAACGTAGATCTAACCATTATATAGCCTTCTATTTATAATTTTGGCGGACGAAATGTTTTACTAGCTAGTCCACTTTGAACTGGTGTGGTGATCAAAGCTCAGTTCTCCTCATATAAGAAGTAGCATTTACACAGCATATCCAATGCAGAAGGTTACAAATTGTTAGGTTGAGACTGGTCAGGGGTATTTTATCAATTCTTTTCTTAACAGATCTTCAGAAGAAGCTCTCTCAGTATTGCTAAAGTTCTTAGAGTTTGACACTCGGGAGGCGATTCGTCAGCAACTATCCACCAAGTTTGACCTCGTCATGAGGCAGTTCATCAAGGAGATCACTGCTATTGAAGATAAGTTTACTGTTAGTACTAACTGTTTTATTTCGGTTAGTTTGTAAGTCGTTTTAATTGTTGGTTTAAGCCTACCCTACCCTACCTGCCTAGCCCTTCCGGGATAAAAGGCGTGATGTTATTGTGGCGACACATGTTACATACATGTCAATGGATGACGTCACAAAAATCCTACATCGCACATGCAAAGTTTACATGCAAATTAACACGGGTAGAAAATCCCAACGAACATCTGTCGGGGCAGAAAGCCCGCCAGGCACGATCACCTCGCCTGGTCGGAGGATCCTCCTTTTCCGATTTTAGGGAACTATACTCTCTGTTCCCTAAATTATCTTAAATAAACTTTATTACTAACCGCCGTACTCAGTCCTTTAATGAGTACTTAACCATGTCCTTACTCCTTAGCAGTTGTTTTCGGAACATAATCGTAGAACTAATGGAACTAATATTTCATTTAGTGGCACCTTCTGGTAGTAAAAGAGTTCTGGTAGTCATTTTTTTTCATTCACTACGCAGCGTTTTCGTAAAAACCCGCCTCTACTTCGCAACCATCCGCCGGTCGCTGGCGCCATCTATTGGGCGAGGGCTCTCTTCAACAAGATGAAACAACCGATCATGAAGTTCCAAAAGGTACCTAAAAAATGTAAAAAGTTATAAACTTCTATTCTAAAAATGGTTTTAGTTACACAAAATACTAATATTTTTCGAATAAAAATACAATAAATGGAACTGGAGGAAGCCAAAACATAACCCAGTCTTAAAAGGTAACTGAAGTACCTAACTCTAACAATTGGGTACTTGCCCTAATCAAAAATAAATTATTTCGACTATTCAGTACAATAAAATATTAAAATATTTTACACTTTCATCAATCAATTTTTTATGACCAACATAATATTAGTATCTTTCCAGCAAGCAGATTTTTAAGAAATAAGTTCGTGACGTTACAATACACAATTTCGTACAAAATTCATAGAAAATTGTTGTTTTTGACAGTTCGAAAAAAGTATTGAATTTGACTAGTTAGCTAGTACCCAATTTACCAATTTCATCACGCCAGGTGCCTGAACTAAACGACTGTGAGCAAAAGAAGGAAGCTTTCATGCAATACAAGGCATTCTCCAAAGTCATCAAGGAGTATGAAGAACAGAAGTACAGGGAATGGGTGGGACCGGCTGCAGACTTCGTGGATAACATGATGAAGAAGAATGTCCTTAAGGTCGAGTTTAAGAAGGAAGGTATGTATACTGCTGTTCTATAGACCAAAACTCCTAAGTTTTTAAGTGGCGTACCAAATGGATCAGAATATGCTGCTAATCCTTTCAAAAAGATACGGAATTATTTTGATATAACAGGGTAGATTTCTAAATTTTATTTTAATGTCCGTCTGGTACATTAATTTAAAACTTTACACACGTATTTTTTCTTTTCCCAAAAATTTAATACTTTCAACGATATTTTAATTTGAAATATCGTGTGACGTCACGGCGTGCAACATTTTGTAGCACGTTATGACGTAACGACTTCCCACTCCCAAACTTAATGCCATTTTATCGACGTATTACAATTTAATACGGGAAAATAAAAAATACTTGTCTAATATTTTTTCATTATCTAACTGACGGACTAATTAGATTTTTAATTTTGATACCCTGGGAACTACCCAGTTATCATGAATGAACTGAATAAACGAATGCGTTGGTTGTCACGATGAAATCAATGCATTCATTCATTTAATGATTATACAAATTAAATGGTTATACAATTTTGTAAAATTTGTTGTAATTTTTTTTTAGACTGCCTCATTGGCCGAGTGGTCGCAAGTGCGACTGCCGGGCAAGGGGTCTCGGGTTCGATTCCCGGGTCGGGCAAAGTATTACTGGGTTTGTAAAAACCTCAGTAGTAGCACGGAGTCTGGAAATGTGTCCAGTATATGGCAATAGGCTAACCCCAGATTACATGGGACTCATAACATAAATAGTGAAAAGTGGGTGTTACATTGTACAGTGCCATAATGTGCACCTCTGCCTACCCCTTCGGGGATAAAAGGCGTGATGTTATGTTATGTTGTAATTTTTTTTGC